GTAGTAAATAGTTACGAAGACGATACGTAAAAGAGATCTCTTAATCCATTTTTTATTTTATTTTTATATAAATAAGAAAAAGAAAAAAAAAATGATTTTATGAAGTTTGAAACATCTTTCGTCTCTTAGGTCTTCGCTCTCTCTTCTTATCCTAAAAATTTTCCCCTTTTCTTGCTCCTAAACGTTTCCAAAGTCTTAATCAGATTCCTTCTTCGAGGACGCTAATTCCCTTTTCTGGGTTTAATCGCGTTTTCTCCAATTTCAAAATTCTTTCCAATTTACCTCTGATTCCTCCAGAAAAAAAGACAAATTTGTTGCTTCGTTTTTTCTGGGTAAATATCATCTTCTTCTTTAACGATTCAGCTTCTATTTTTTTTTAGTTTGATCGCTAATTCTTTGTTCTGGGTTTTGTAAAGATTTGTTCTTTTACTTTAGTTTTCGATTAAAGCTTTGATTTTTGTGTGTTTTCTTGCTTCTGGGCAACTTGAAGAAGAAGCAAATTTCGAGTTTGCGTGTATTTTGTTTGTCTTTTAGATTCCAATTTCATTTCTGTAAATAAGAAAATTTGTTCAATTTGGGTACTTTTCTTGGAGAATTTCAAATTGGAATTATCCTCTCCCTTTTCCTCGGAGATTCCTTTGAAAGATTTTCTTGGGAAAAATCACAGGCGCGGAGATAGAGAAAGATCAGAACTTGTTTGATTTTGGATTCGTCGCCATTATGAGGAAGAACAGCGACGGTTCTCAGAAACCGGCGAATTCTGACGGAGTTGTGTCGCGATCAGCTCGGAGTTCGTTTCGTGCTTTGTCTAACTGCCTTAGGGTGATTTCTTCCGGTGCTTCCACGGTTGCTCGCTCCGCCGTATCCGCCGCTTCTTCCGCCGTTAACATTGAGTCTCTTCACGATCAGGTACAAATTGAGACTCTTTTTGTTTGACAATGAGGAATTTGTTATGATTCTTGCGGAAAGTATGGTGATGGTTTCTCTTTAGGTGACAAATCTCTTATGGGTTTTTGCTTCATTTGGGTGATACCTTAAAAAGATCGACCTTTAGTTGTTTGGTGGTTTCCTCTTTTTCAGTTTGATTGTTTTTGGTAATCTTTACACGTTTTCGATGAAAAGGTACTATGGTCGGGGTTTGATAAGCTAGAGAAAGAGGATGGTGATACTAGAAGAGTTCTGCTACTTGCATTTCAATCTGGATTTCAAGTTTGGGATGTCGAAGAAACAGGGAACGTTCATGTCATAGTTTCTGCTCATGATGGACAAGCATTCTTTATGCAAATGCTACCGAACCCGGTGAAGTCGAGAGTTTTAGATGACAAGTTTTCTGAGAGCCGTCCGCTTTTGGCTGTGTGTGGTGACAGTTCTTGGGAAGAAACTTCGAGTAGACAGAGCATTTCTGATAACCCCGGAAGTGAAACAGTAGTTCCAACAAATGTCTATTTCTACTCGTTAAAATCTCAGTCTTATGTGCATACGCTGAAATTCCGGTCTATCATCTATACGGTTAGGTGCAGTTCTCGGATTGTTGCTGTACTACAAGCTGCTCAGGTTCGAATGTCTTATTGTGTCACTTTTGTTTTTGTGATTTGTCCATTCTGAAACTAACAATTCGTACATTTGCAGATACATTGCTTTGATGCTACAACATTGGAGAAGGATTACACGCTTGCCACTAACCCCATTGCATATGGCTCCTTGGGTGTTGGATATGGTCCTCTTGCAGTTGGTCCACGATGGATTGCTTACAGTGGAAGTCGTATTCCTATCTCAAGTTCTGCAGTTTTCAGTCCAGAACTTGTCTCACTGTCATCATCACCGACTGTTGCACAATTTGCAAGAGAATCGAGCAGGCAGATCGCTTCTGGGATCGTAAATCTTGGAGACAAAGGGTACAGGTCAATTACTAGATACTGCGCAGAGGTTCTGCCGAATCCGTATATTCCTGGTTTTAAAGGCATTGGAGGAGTTAATGACAATGTGCCAGACGTGGATAGCATAGGAATGGTATACTCAAAATCTTCTTGAGTTGTTTTGCTCTTAAGTTGATTTTTATTGGTTTGTGGTTTAAACATATCCATGATGTGTGCAGGTTATTATCAAGGATATCATAAGCAAAGGCGTCATAGCACAGTTCAAGGCACACAAGAGTCCGATTGCAGCTTTGTGCTTTAATCCAAGTGGCATGCTTTTGGTGACTGCGTCGATTCAGGGCCACAACATTAACGTTTTTAGAATGATGCCAAGAATCTCTACAAGTAGTGATGCCACCACAACGTCTTTTGTGCATCTGTTCAGGCTTCAACGCGGTTTCACTAATGCGGTAAAAGCAGAGCCCTTCTTTTACGCGTTTTGATTAACCCTAATGATCTGTCGCTATTGATTAACCTTGATGAGATTTTTCAGGTGATACAAGACATCAGTTTCAGCAATGATAGCAATTTGATAATGGTTAGCTCTTCAAGAGGGACAAGTCATCTGTTTGAGATTAATCCTGTGGGAGAGGTGGATTCTCCAGTTCCTCTATCAGCGATTAATAGGATAAGAAGTGGAAATAGCAGCGGATGGATTGGAACCATGAGCGGTGCTGCAGCAGCTGCAGCTGGAATGGTTGGAGGCTCTCTTCCGGGTGCAATCGCATCAGCCTTCTGTTACTGTGATGAACAGAATAACAACTACTATGGTTCTGCTTCTGATAATAGCTCCAAGAGGAATCTGCTGGTTTTTGCTCCTTCTGGATGTATGACACAGTATGCAATACGGGCAAATCCAGGTGGGGTTGGTCATGAGGCTGCAGTGATGACGAGGTTTGATTTTGAGTCGGGTTTAGAGACTGAAGGGAAATTAGCGGTTGAGCCGATACAGAGGTGGTCCATAATCCAAAACCAATCTAGAAGAGAGATGCAGGATCAGCAGAGTGACATATATGGAGGTGGAACAAGTTCGGATTCAAAAAGTAAAGTGTTTCCTGAGGTTGTAAGAAAGCAGAGTGTTGAGGAAGCGTGGAGAATAACTAAGAAAGGGAAGGCCCGTGTGGAGGATAAGCATCAGTTGTATATTTCTGAAGCGGAATTGCGAATGTATCAGCTGACTCAGCTACCGCTATGGGCAAGGCGAAAGGTAAATTTTTAATTTTCTTAAGAGAATGATTAGAAAACTGGTAATGTTGTGTTGTGTGGACATCTCTCTGATACTGTACTTTTGCACAAAATAGTTTCGGTTTCAAGAAATGGTGTTGAGTCGGGATGAAAAGAATAGTGGTGGACAAGGGGAAATGGAGCTTGAAGGAATCCAAACTCGTACGATTGAAGCAAGAACAAGAGATTTGGTTCCAGTCTTTGGTTTTCTCTACTCTCCGAAATCCGAACAAGTGATTCGAGAGTGAGTTTTTTTAATCTGATCAGACTAAGCACTTAAGTTTTTTTATGTCTCTGTCACTAACACTAGTATTATGTATGACACAGATCGTTGCCACTTCTAGGGAACACTAGACAAGGTGACCAAGAGGCTCCTCTGGAGGGCCATGGAAGAGAGACTGTACATAGCAAAGAAGAGATCTTGAGATCAGAAGAAGAGACTCAAAGCAAGCCTGTAAATAAAGAAAAAGGTATTGCA